TAATTGATTAATAGGGCAATAGGAAGCAATGTGAACATGGGACGTACGATAAATGTATTATCAAATAGAGAAAATATGACACATTTGTCTATTTGTATAATATACAATGAAAGGTGATGATATTAAAATAGAAGCATGTAATATTGTGATAATGCGACCTTATAATTCTTCAAAATATTAACATGGGGCCTGGTTTTTTTGTTGTTCGGTAGTGAGCCAGAAGAGATCCATTTCTGTTTTTTTTGTTTTTGTTTTTGTGTTTGCATTTCGAAGATCTTCTGTCGTCTCTCTTCTATCTCCTCCTTTTAAAAAAGTAGATAAGACGGCAGAGGCACATAACAAACATGGCGTCGTTTACTATAAATGTTATTAATAAATTTGTGAATGCAGATATAATAGAATGTGAGTTGTGCGATAAACGTTTTTATGGTATGTCAGCCTTTATAGGGCATCCTTGTAAGAACAATAAGCCGGATGAAGATAAATATTTGCTTGCAATACTGTTATATTTCTAAGATACGAGTTAAAACGTCTGCTTAATAGTAGTTCAGACTTCTATAAAATATAATCACATCTTTCTTGTCTATTTTTTACATTTTCCGTCTGATAATCCATAAAAAAAAAAAGCAATGAAAATATCCGATGAAAAATGAAAAAAAAGAAGAAAAAAATCGATGGTTTTATATTATAGAACTAGCCAGACAATAACAGTAAATGTGCGACAATTTAATATTCTGGGAAGGGGGAGGGGGCAGGAGGATATTTTCTCTCGGATTTATTCATATTTATCTGTCGCTCTGCATGCCTATATTTCCAGTTCTTATTCAAAATTTTCATGTACCCCCACCCCGCTCCCCTTTCATAAAAAAAAATCATACGATTGTCTCCATATTTTACACAACGTTAAATTGATTAATTATTGGTTGTTCATTTTTAAACGTCCAGTGGCAAATATTTCATGCATGTTCAGGACGACACCAGTTTAAAAGTCGGGTATATTATATAAAAATTAGGAGATGGGTGCTGCAGTGCCAATGAAACAACATTCCACCAGAGTTCAAATGAAGTGGATGTGAGCGATTATAGGCAACCGTACGGCCTTCAACAATGCGTAAAAATCCATACCGAATAGTCAGAAAAACAAATATGACAGACATAAACCAACGACAACCACTGAACTGCAGGCTCCTAGCTTCGGACAGGCACATAAAAACTGTTGCGGGGTCAGACAAGTTTTTGAGCGGTTAACTCTCCCCTAACCTTTTACAGTGGTGTAACAGCACAAAATAAGAACAAACTGTAAAAAACAGTTGCATTGACTTAACCCAAAAGATCGGTACGAGACACCCAAACAACTAACACGAAAACAACATACAAAAAGCAACGATATAAAGAGTACCCTCAGTTACTGAAAGCTAGTTCAAAACCAATTACAATTGAAAAATAAATCATGTTGTCCCAGACTAAAGTATCAATCAGTACACAAACAACGGATTTAGAGAAGACAGTCTGAGAAACGCAGACATCAAATACATTGTATACATAATATCTTTCATATATTACATAAATAATCAAGTTTGGTTACTTTAAAATTATTTTGATATATAGACAATAAGATGTCTTTTTCAATCATATACCAGACAAATGATATTCAATCGTATTACATCCACTTCATTTTAACTTTGGTGGATAGTTGTGTCATTGGCAATCATACCACACGAAGATTGTTCCTGAAAATGAAATGGTTGGAGCTTTAAGTCGGATTGGTTTAGATAATTAAGTTAGGAAAGCATTTTAAGAACCAACCAATTTCTTTGTTTTTACATTTATTAAATAATTATAACAATGCCAAAACAGAGCACAATATTACAGTCATGTCTTTCGAATGAGCTGACGTGACTGGATTTTCTAATAAATCATCGTAAACTTCAGTTATGTCTTCCAAAATAAACAATTCTGCTATTTCGACGCCAAATTGAATTAGTGTTTTACTGCTTCTTCTTCAAAATACCTCCACTAGTCCAGATTCATTTTTCTGGACTCTTCACAAGAAGATATTCTGACGATGTACAGAAGAGAGCAATACATAGCGCCCGTGGAGTAAGGATAATGTACTTTTTTGTTGATTCAATGCTAAGCATATGGGAATTTTATATAAAAAAAAAAAATCCATAGGCTTTCCCCTTGTAATCCTATATTTCAAATTGACAATTCGGTGTTTAATGGATAGAGGATTATTGCATGCAGTGGAACGATTTCCCTAAAACAAGTATATAAATAAAGAAATTGGTTAAAGGGAATTTAGCTGTCAAATTTATAACAAACTAAAACGTATATACAAATTGCAAAAAGTCTAAAATAAACAATTAACAATGCATGGACTCGACAATATGTATCAACATTTCATGTGTATTTTTGTCTAGACGTCATCTAATTGATTATCGAGATGACCTCCGAAGACTGCCGACGGTCATACATCCCATATAAATATAGATATAAATATGAATAGATAGAAACCATGAGCAATTGGATTTTTCTAGGTCTGTTTGATTTAATATTGTAAGTCAAAAAGTATGTTTCTCATCGATTTTTAACTGTATAAGAATGATAGTTTGTGGATCGAATCAGTCAACCAAATGGTTCATCCTTATTTCAACTTCAATGTTGACATTCTTCTCCTTTTCATAGCTGAATACATGCGTAACCTATCTCCAGCTATGGGGTAAACTTGAAGGTCACATGAATACAGATTTAATGAGATCGAATTATTCACTTGCAAGTGAATAATTCATTAGCAATGTTTCTCAGCTTATTTTGACATTTTTAAATCAAATTGGCTGCTAAAAGCGAATTAATAAATCTCTGTAATAAAGGTTGCGGGTTTTATGCAAAAATTTTGGCTTTATTTGTCACCAAATCCCCATTTTTTATTAAATGCAATAAAATATTTAACAGTATTGCTTTGAACAACCTTTCCCTTTGATATATGTACAAAATGGCACGTCACTTTTATTCTCTATTTTTACTTTTTGGATATTGTTGTACTTTGAAAATTTCGTACTACACAGGCCTACAGAAGGGGTCACCAACCGTTAATAATTTCCTTGGAAATGAACTTTAAATTATAAATAGTCGTATCTACTAGCTATCTGGGATTAAATTCACAATGAACAAATTAGGCCGTTGTTTTTCTCTATTGAAATTTTTCATATTTTTAATGTCGGTGCCTTTCATTGCCGACTAAACGGTATGGGATTTCTCATTGTTGAAGGCCGTACGGTTGTCTATAATTGCTCACATCCACTTCATTTGAACTTGGGTGATTAGTTGTCTCATTGGCAATCATACCACATCTCCTTTTTATTATATATATTGGTCATAATAATCCGTGAGCTGAGTCGGTTTCCTTGTTACACTCTTTTAAGTCAAGTACTCTTCTGCGCAGTACCACTCACGTTTGTAGTAATGTTATATAAATGTGAAAAACAGAGATGTGGAGTTAACATTGAGATAAAACAGTTACCCCGCAACAGAAAAAGTGAAATATAATCCAATATGATATAATTTAAAAACAGAATGGAAACGGGGAATGTGGCAAAGAGACAACAACCTGACCAAAGAGCAGAAAGCAGAGAGAAAATCCCGCACCCGGAGGCCATACATTTCAGTTTTCATTTCAAAAATAATGTTATATTCTTTATATGTGTTCTCGCAATTCGTTCTATTATCGCTGATGTACGTGTATATGTATCCCCCTTTTTTATTAATATTCATAATATGGAGGAAAACCTGTTTTGAGTGTGTATGTCCACAGTTGGTTTTCATGTGAACATATCGATCTACTGTCACTTTCCAAACATTTGATGCCAGACTTCTCTAATGTAGGTTGATCAAGAAAATATGTTTACCGCACTGTAATGGGTGTCATTTTATAGGAGTAACAAGACGGGTGTCACATGTGGAGCAGTATTTGCTAACCTTTCCGGAGCACGATAGATCACCCCCTGTTTTTATTACGGTTCGTGTTGCTCAGTCTTTAGTTTTCTAGGTTGTGTTTGGTGTACTGTTGTTGGTCTTTTGGCCAATTTCTTTGTTCGTTTAAGGCGTTGTCAGTTTTTTTTCGACATATGGGTTTGAATGTTACGTTGGTATCCTTTACCTCTCTTTCATTACAATCATTCATAATATATGTCTACATAAATTGGTCATATCTTAAGAGTTAGACAAGAGAAATTTTAATCCGGTATGTATGACGCCTTGATTCGACCAATTAACGATTTTTAAATAGGAATAACACGCCAAGTGTCATAATTGGATCATGACCAAGTGACCCTTCTGTAGCACCTAAGTTTACCTGGCTTTTGTTTGAGTGTGTTTGTACTTTAGTTTAGTGTGTGGTGTTTTTTGGACTGTTTTCTTCTTCCTGGATTATCCTTAAACCACGATGCTGTCTTTTTTCTTCAACAACTTCGTTTTCTTCATTTATCTTCTCATTTTTTTGTCAGTGCCACAAAAAGCGAGTTGTAAAGACTCTTTGTAACAATATATCAAGCATTAAAGATTTTTTAAGAAAAAATGCAGAACAAAAGCTTAGCTGAGTGTATGATTTTTTTTCCATAGTAACTTTTAAATTACGAACTTTATACCTCTTACGAAGAATTTCAAATTCAGGATTTGAACTTATATGCATTTTTTTCAGTAATAATCCTAGCGTTCTATGATACTATAAAATCGCTCTTTTTGGCACATTGTCAAGTATTTTATCAATCATTTATCAATTCGGCATCGTCAATTATTTTACTTTTGTTTGCAGTTTTACACAGATAACCGTCATTAATTTAAAATTAATCGTTGATAAAATTCCGAGAAAGGACTTTTAATTTCCATTTAAATTTAATTTAGTAATTTCCTTGTAATGATACTATTTTAATTCACCTGGATTATACACTTGCAAGTATCATATTTTATTTGAATAGAATTTAAAATTTAACCTAAATTCTTTATATTCTTGTCATAACTTGCACACCTGTTGCAGTTGTGTTACAATCTAAAAAGCGAAAAAGATAGAAAAAAGGGAAACTTAATGTATTCATTTCATATAACAAAAAAAAAAAACAATAAGACGTCAATGTGATAATCACAGCTTTGATTTGGACTTACTTTTTAAAAATGGAAATACACCTAGATTCAATAAATGTTTTACCATTCATCCTTGTTAATCTAGTGTTTACGTCAACGAAAACAGGTAAATAACTATTTCTGATCATACTATTCTTAGGAGTATTGAATTTAAAGAAGTATTCAATAAAATTGCATCAAATTTGTTTGAAATAACAATAACAATAAGCGATGAAAATACTAACAGTTAATTCTGAAATAAGAATGTAACTTTGATACTTAACTTCATTACACAATCTGCGTAGTGAACTCATACATTAGTTATTTCCAGCTAACTTCGAAAAATGTTTTTTCAAATGTCATGGCTACATGGTCCACAAGCTATTCCGTAAAAGCACTCGGAAAGACCTTTTGCAATTTGATATTCCATAGTTTTTGATTTTTTGTTTGTATTGCAACTTTTTTCTAAAAGATGATTTTATTCGTTTAGAAGTGTTTACAAGATATTAATATAACTAAACTATTCTAGTGAACCGTAGATATTTTTTCATTAATTTTGACCATAGTGACGTCGAAATTACATGTGATATTTTATGAATAAACAGTGGAAATTTTGAAAGTTGAATTATTTTTACTCTTGACCTTTTAAGAAAGGCAAAATATCACACCGGGATATCCATACTCACATCTAGAAAACATACTGACAATATGCCATGACAAAAAACGAAAAACTATCAACAGACAAACAACAGCAAACACAACGCATGCGCAATACCAAAAACTAAAGATTGAGCAAAAGAACCCCACCAAAAACAACGGTTGATCTCAGGAGCTCCGGAAAGGTAAGCAGATCCTCTCCACATGTGAGACCCGTGATATTACTCCTGTACGATACGTTGATAAGTTATATGAAGTGATAATTAAGGCATCACACAATAGCGGGATGATAACCAATTCTTGTCTCACCCTTAGACATCACCCAATTCGTGAAACATTGGTCATGTAAATTTTCTGAACCTGAAACTTAACCGAATGTGAAATTCTGAAACTATAATTTTTTTCATGACAAATGATAGACAATCGGTCACCGGTATAAATTACACCGACATTGAAAAAGTAACACATACATTGAAAAAGTAACACAGACATTGAATAAGTAACACATACATTGAAAACGTAACACAGACATTGAATAAGTAACACATACATTGAAAACGTAACACAGTCATTGAATAAGTAACACACAAATACATTGAAAACGTAACACAGACATTGAAAAAGTTACACATACATTGAAAAAGTAACACAGACATTGAATAAGTAACACATACATTGAAAAAGTAACACAGACATTGAATAAGTAACACATACATTGAAAACGTAACACAGTCATTGAAAAAGTAACACATACATTGCAAAAGTAACACAGACATTGAATAAGTAACACATACATTGAAAACGTAACACAGTCATTGAATATATAACACATACATTGAAAAAGTAACACATACATCGAAAAAGTAACACATACATTGAAAAAGTAACACAGACATTGAATAAGTAACACATACATTGAAAACGTAACACAGTCATTGAATAAGTAACACATACATTGAAAACGTAACACAGTCATTGAAAAAGTAACACATACATTGAAAAAGTAACACGTACATTGAAAAAGTAACACAGACATTGAAAAGTAACACAGACATCGAAAAAGTAACACATACATTGAAAAAGTAACACAGTCATTGAAAAAGTAAAAAGCAAACAGAACAACATTTAAAACTAAAACAAGAGCAATTCCACTCCTTAAAAACAAAACAAGGAGTGATCTCAGATGCTCCGAAAGGGGAAGCACATCCTCTCCACATGTGAGACCCGTGATATTACTCCTGTACGATACGTTGATAAGTTATATGAAGTGATAATTAAGGCATCACACAATAGCGGGATGATAACCAATTCTTGTCTCACCCTTAGACATCACCCAATTCGTGAAACATTGGTCATGTAAATTTTCTGAACCTGAAACTTAACCGAATGTGAAATTCTGAAACTATAATTTTTTTCATGACAAATGATAGACAATCGGTCACCGGTATAAATTACACCGACATTGAAAAAGTAACACATACATTGAAAAAGTAACACAGACATTGAATAAGTAACACATACATTGAAAACGTAACACAGACATTGAATAAGTAACACATACATTGAAAACGTAACACAGTCATTGAATAAGTAACACACAAATACATTGAAAACGTAACACAGACATTGAAAAAGTTACACATACATTGAAAAAGTAACACAGACATTGAATAAGTAACACATACATTGAAAAAGTAACACAGACATTGAATAAGTAACACATACATTGAAAACGTAACACAGTCATTGAAAAAGTAACACATACATTGAAAAAGTAACACAGACATTGAATAAGTAACACATACATTGAAAACGTAACACAGTCATTGAATATATAACACATACATTGAAAAAGTAACACATACATCGAAAAAGTAACACATACATTGAAAAAGTAACACAGACATTGAATAAGTAACACATACATTGAAAACGTAACACAGTCATTGAATAAGTAACACATACATTGAAAACGTAACACAGTCATTGAAAAAGTAACACATACATTGAAAAAGTAACACGTACATTGAAAAAGTAACACAGACATTGAAAAGTAACACAGACATCGAAAAAGTAACACATACATTGAAAAAGTAACACAGTCATTGAAAAAGTAAAAAGCAAACAGAACAACATTTAAAACTAAAACAAGAGCAATTCCACTCCTTAAAAACAAAACAAGGAGTGATCTCAGATGCTCCGAAAGGGGAAGCACATCCTGCCCCACATGTGGCAACCGTCGCGTTCCTCGTGTAAGTGCAAACCCAGTGATACAATGTACATCTTATTCGGTATGTCACATTCGAGGAAAAGAGGATGCCTTGGGTATGGAAGCCGGTTAGTGTCAGGTTGGAGTTATATTTTTAAGTCGTTATAACGACTTAGCTAACTTGTTATAACGACTTAGCTAAGTTGTTTAAACAACTTAGCTAACTTGTTTAAACAACTTAGCTAACTTGTTATAACAACTTAGCGAATCTATCTCGTTATAACAACTTAGCTAACTCGTTTAAACAACTTAGCTATTTTGTTATAACAACTTAGCTTACTTGTTTAAACAACTTAGCTAACTCGTTTAAGCAACTTAGCTAACTCGTTAAAACAACTTAGCTAAGTTGTTATAACGACTTAACTAATCTAACTCGTTATAACAACTTTACTAACTCGTTTAAACAACATAACTTTCTTGTTATAACAACTTAGCTTACTTGTTTTAACGACTTAGCTAACTCGTTTAAACAACTTGGCTAACTCGTTTAAACAGCTTAGCTTACTCGTTAAAACGACTTAGTTAACTTGTTTAAACAACTTAGTTAACTTGTAATAACAACTTAGCTAATCTATCTCGTTATAACAACTTAGCTAACTCGTTCAAACAACTTAGCTTTCTTATTATAACAACTTAGCTTACTTGTTTTAACGACTTAACAAACTCGTTTAAACAACTTAGCTAACTCGTTTAAACAAGTTGGCTAACTCGTTTAAACGACTTAGCTAACTTGTTTAAACAACTTAGCTAACTTGTTATAACAACTTAGCGAATCTATCTCGTTATAACAACTTAGCTAACTCGTTTAAACAACTTAGCTATCTTGTTATAACAACTTAGCTTACTTGTTTTAACGACTTAGCTAACTCGTTTAAACAACTTAGCTAAGTTGTTATAACAAGATAGCTAAGTTGTTTAAACGAGTTAGCTAAGTTGTTATAACGAGATAGATTCGCTAAGTTGTTATAAGAAGTTAGCTAAGTTGTTGAAACAAGTTAGCTAAGTTGTTTAAACAAGTTAGCTAAGTTGTTTAAACAAGTTAGCTAAGTTGTTTAAACAAGTTAGCTTAGTCGTTTTAACGAGTAAGCTAAGTTGTTAAAACGAGTTAGCTAAGTTGTTTAAACGAGTTAACTAAGTTGTTTAAACGAGTTACAATGTAGCTAAGTCGTTAAAACAAGTAAGCTAAGTTGTTATAACAAGATAGCTAAGTTGTTTAAACGAGTTCGCTAAGTTGTTATAACGAGATAGATTTGCTAAGTTGTCATAACAAGTTAGCTAAGTTGTTTAAACAAGTTAGCTAAGTCGTTTTAACGAGTTAGCTAAGTTGTTTAAACGAGTTAGCTAAGTCGTTCAAACGAGTTTGCTAAGTTGTTTAAACGAGTTAGCTAAGTAGTTAAAACAAGTAAGTTAAGTTGTTATAACAAGATAGCTAAGTTGTTTAAACGAGTTAATTAAGTTGTTATAACGAGTTAGATTAGTTAAGTCGTTATAACAACTTAGCTAAGTTGTTTAAACAAGTTAGCTAAGTCGTTTTAACGAGTTAGCTAAGTTGTTTAAACGAGTTAGCTAAGTTGTTTAAACAAGTAAGCTAAGTCGTTAAAACACGTTAGCTAAGTTGTTATAACAAGATAAATATGCTAAGTCGTTATAACAACTTAGCTAAGTCGTTATAACAAGTTAGCTAAGTCGTTATAACGACTTAAAAATTAAACTCCAACCTGACACTAACCGGCTTCCGTACTTGGGATTGTGGTTACGACAATTGAAATATATCTGTCGTCATTAATTTTGTGTAACAAATATTCCATGATGTTCAATCAACTCGTGATAAAGTCCGTAAAATTTAAATATATTTACTACTACTACTAATTGGGAACCGATGTCGGAAAGACAGATTTCCTTGTATTCGTCAATTTTTGTTGTAAGACACAGTCATGTTGTGACAAACCACTGCGTCGATTATTTTAACAAAATTGTATATAAATATTTCAAAATATTTTTAACATGCTTGAACTATGAACTCCGGTTATGCGACGTAATGATGTCACATGCGATTGTATTTAAATATTTTACATATAAACAGATAAGTATACACTGTAAATTTAGAACATACCTTTCAATACAAAATGAATTAATTTCTAAAGAAGGATAACTTTCAAGCATAGAATAACATATTCCTTATAATATATGTATTGCTTTCA